CTAAAGAAACTTTGCCGTCTCTCGCGAAACATTTGCGTTCCTCAGAGAATCTTTACGTTCGCTCGTGAAACTCCGAGAAACTTGGGGTTTGCTCGCAAAACCTTTGGGTTCCTCTGAGAAACTTTCGTTTCGCTCGTGAAACCTTTTCGTCTACTCGTGAAACGTTTGCGTTCCTCTGCGAAACTTTGGGTTTGCTCGCAAAACCTTTGGGTTCCTCTAAGAAACTTTCGTTTCGCTCGTGAAACCTTTTCGTCTACTCGTAAAACGTTTGCGTTCCTCTGCGAAACTTTGGGTTTGCTCGCAAAACCTTTGGGTTCCTCTGAGAAACTTTCAGTTCGCTCGCGAAACCTTTGCGTTCCTCAAAGAATCTTTACATTCTCCCCTCCATGTTCCTCAGATAATATTTACTTTGTCCTGAGAATCTTTACGTCCGCTTGCGAAACCTTTGCGTTCCTCCGCGAAACCTTTGTGTTTCCTAAAGAAACTTTGCCGTCTCTCGCGAAACATTTGCGTTCCTCAAAGAATCTTTACATTCTCCCCTCCATGTTCCTCAGAGAATCTTTACTTTGTCCTGAGAATCTTTACGTCCGCTTGCGAAACCTTTGCGTTCCTCCGCGAAACCTTTGTGTTTCCTAAAGAAACTTTGCCGTCTCTCGCGAAACATTTGCGTTCCTCAGAGAATCTTTACGTTCGCTCGTGAAACTCCGAGAAACTTGGGGTTTGCTCGCAAAACCTTTGGGTTCCTCTGAGAAACTTTCGTTTCGCTCGTGAAACCTTTTCGTCTACTCGTGAAACGTTTGCGTTCCTCTGCGAAACTTTGGGTTTGCTCGCAAAACCTTTGTGTTCCCTGAGAAACTTTGGGTTTGCTCACAAAACCTTTGGGTTCCTCTGAGAAACTTTCAGTTCGCTCGCGAAACCTTTGCGTTCCTCAAAGAATCTTTACATTCTCCCCTTCATGTTCCTCAGATAATATTTACTCTGTCCTGAGAATCTTTACGTCCGCTTGTGAAACCTTTGCGTTCCTCTGAGAAATTTTGTGTTCGCTCACGAAACCTTTGTGTTTCCTAAAGAAACTTTGCCGTCTCTCGCGAAACATTTGCGTTCCTCAGAGAATCTTTACGTTCGCTCGTGAAACTCCGAGAAACTTGGGGTTCGCTCGCAAAACCTTTGGGTTCCTCTGAGAAACTTTCAGTTCGCTCGCGAAACCTTTGCGTTCCTCAAAGAATCTTTACATTCTCCCCTTCATGTTCCTCAGATAATATTTACTCTGTCCTGAGAATCTTTATGTCCGCTTGTGAAACCTTTGCGTTCCTCTGAGAAATTTTGTGTTCGCTCACGAAACCTTTGTGTTTCCTAAAGAAACTTTGCCGTCTCTCGCGAAACATTTGCGTTCCTCAGAGAATCTTTACGTTCACTCGTGAAACTCCGAGAAACTTGGGGTTCGCTCGCAAAACCTTTGGGTTCCTCTGAGAAACTTTCGTTTCGCTCGTGAAACCTTTTCGTCTACTCGTGAAACGTTTGCGTTCCTCTGCGAAACTTTGGGTTTGCTCGCAAAACCTTTGGGTTCCTCTGAGAAACTTTCGTTTCGCTCGTGAAACCTTTTCGTCTACTCGTGAAACGTTTGCGTTCCTCTGCGAAACTTTGGGTTTGCTCGCAAAACCTTTGGGTTCCTCTGAGAAACTTTCGTTTCGCTCGTGAAACCTTTTCGTCTACTCGTGAAACGTTTGCGTTCCTCTGCGAAACTTTGGGTTTGCTCGCAAAACCTTTGGGTTCCTCTAAGAAACTTTCGTTTCGCTCGTGAAACCTTTTCGTCTACTCGTAAAACGTTTGCGTTCCTCTGCGAAACTTTGGGTTTGCTCGCAAAACCTTTGGGTTCCTCTGAGAAACTTTCAGTTCGCTCGCGAAACCTTTGCGTTCCTCAAAGAATCTTTACATTCTCCCCTCCATGTTCCTCAGAGAATCTTTACTTTGTCCTGAGAATCTTTACGTCCGCTTGCGAAACCTTTGCGTTCCTCCGCGAAACCTTTGTGTTTCCTAAAGAAACTTTGCCGTCTCTCGCGAAACATTTGCGTTCCTCAGAGAATCTTTACGTTCGCTCGTGAAACTCCGAGAAACTTGGGGTTCGCTCGCAAAACCTTTGGGTTCCTCTGAGAAACTTTCGTTTCGCTCGTGAAACCTTTTCGTCTACTCGTGAAACGTTTGCGTTCCTCTGCGAAACTTTGGGTTTGCTCGCAAAACCTTTGGGTTCCTCTGAGAAACTTTCGTTTCGCTCGTGAAACCTTTTCGTCTACTCGTGAAACGTTTGCGTTCCTCTGCGAAACTTTGGGTTTGCTCGCAAAACCTTTGGGTTCCTCTGAGAAACTTTCGTTTCGCTCGTGAAACCTTTTCGTCTACTCGTGAAACGTTTGCGTTCCTCTGCGAAACTTTGGGTTTGCTCGCAAAACCTTTGGGTTCCTCTAAGAAACTTTCGTTTCGCTCGTGAAACCTTTTCGTCTACTCGTAAAACGTTTGCGTTCCTCTGCGAAACTTTGGGTTTGCTCGCAAAACCTTTGGGTTCCTCTGAGAAACTTTCAGTTCGCTCGCGAAACCTTTGCGTTCCTCAAAGAATCTTTACATTCTCCCCTCCATGTTCCTCAGAGAATCTTTACTTTGTCCTGAGAATCTTTACGTCCGCTTGCGAAACCTTTGCGTTCCTCCGCGAAACCTTTGTGTTTCCTAAAGAAACTTTGCCGTCTCTCGCGAAACATTTGCGTTCCTCAGAGAATCTTTACGTTCGCTCGTGAAACTCCGAGAAACTTGGGGTTTGCTCGCAAAACCTTTGGGTTCCTCTGAGAAACTTTCGTTTCGCTCGTGAAACCTTTTCGTCTACTCGTGAAACGTTTGCGTTCCTCTGCGAAACTTTGGGTTTGCTCGCAAAACCTTTGGGTTCCTCTGAGAAACTTTCAGTTCGCTCGCGAAACCTTTGCGTTCCTCAAAGAATCTTTACATTCTCCCCTTCATGTTCCTCAGAGAATCTTTACTTTGTCCTGAGAATCTTTACGTCCGCTTGCGAAACCTTCGCGTTCACTCACGAAACCTTTGCGTTCCTCCGCGAAACCTTTGTGTTTCCTAAAGAAACTTTGCCGTCTCTCGCGAAACATTTGCGTTCCTCAGAGAATCTTTACGTTCGCTCGTGAAACTCCGAGAAACTTGGGGTTTGCTCGCAAAACCTTTGGGTTCCTCTGAGAAACTTTCGTTTCGCTCGTGAAACCTTTTCGTCTACTCGTGAAACGTTTGCGTTCCTCTGCGAAACTTTGGGTTTGCTCGCAAAACCTTTGTGTTCCCTGAGAAACTTTGGGTTTGCTCACAAAACCTTTGGGTTCCTCTGAGAAACTTTCAGTTCGCTCGCGAAACCTTTGCGTTCCTCAAAGAATCTTTACATTCTCCCCTTCATGTTCCTCAGATAATATTTACTCTGTCCTGAGAATCTTTACGTCCGCTTGTGAAACCTTTGCGTTCCTCTGAGAAATTTTGTGTTCGCTCACGAAACCTTTGCGTTCCTCCGCAAAACCTTTGTGTTTCCCCAAGAAACTTTGCGGTCACTCGCGAAACATTTGCGTTCCTCAGAGAATCTTTACGTTCTCCCCTTCACGTTCCTCTGAGAAACTTTGGGGATTACTCGTGAAACCTTTTCGTCCGCTCGTGAAACCTTTGCACTCCCCCAAGAATCTTTACGTTCGCTTGTGAAACCTTTTTGTTCGCTCGCAAAACCTTTGCGTTCCTCGAGAAACTTTGGGTTCGCTCGTGAAACATTTCCTCACATTTGCGTTCCTCAGAGAATCTTTACATTCTTCCCTTCATATTCCTACGAGAATCTTTGAATTTCTCTGAGAAACTTTGTGTTCGCTCACGAACCTTTGCGTTCCCCCAAGAATCTTTACGTATGCTCGTGAAACCTTTTCGTCCGCTTGCGAAATCTTTGCTTTCTTCCGAGAAACTTTGGGTTCGCTTGTGAAACCTTTTCGTTCTGCTCGTGAAACCTTTGCGTTTCTCTGCGAAACTTTGGGTTCGCTCGTGAAACCTTTGCGTTCCTCCGAGAAATCTTTGGGTTTGCTTGCGAAACATTTGCGTCCCCTGAGAAACTTTGCGTTCGCTTGCGAAACCTTTGCGTTCCCTGAGAAACATTTTGTTCGCTTGCAAAGCGTTTTGAGCAAAAGCAAAGTTTCTCGGCAGAATGTAAAACATTTGCGAGAGAGAAATGCTTTGGCATTTGACAAATAATTCTTCCTCCATCACATTTTTTCCTTTCATTTCCCTTTAGGGGCTCCGTAGTAATGGACTTGGGGCGAAATCTCTCAGATTTCTTTAAAATATCTTCATCTGTGTCTTCATCTTTTTTTTGAAGATGAACGAAAATCTTCTGCATCTGAAACTACATGAGGGTGAGAAAAGTATGATAGGATTTGTTTTTTTTTTGAGTGAACTATTCTTATAATGGTCTTAATTGATACTGTATACAACAAAACTCTAATAATAAAATGTCCTTTATGATTGTTGCTTGTTTGTTGACAGTTGCATTAAGAGCATCCGCCCCGCAGGACTATGATCCCACAATTTTGTAAAACCATGGAAAAGATTCATCAGATGTCAATTTTTTTAAACCTTCTGACTTAAATTGACCACAAAGAATGAGTTAACCTGTAATAAGTGATTTTGTGTGTGTGTGTGTGCAGTTTTGAAGTGATTTTCTTTTTAGTAGACAAGGGTTGCTTTCACCGAGCTGATATTAAAGCAGAGAGGAAGCCCTTCTTTGGCAAGACTGTAGAGAAACTGATTACAGCTTTGATGTTTTGGTTTCTGTGAAATGTCCACCGTTTTCTCAATAACTGAAATACTGACCTGTGATCTAGGAAGGGGTCTCATCTTCATAATACACATAATAAGCAGTCTTAAAGATTATGAAACAGTTATTGTGTGTTATTAGCTGTAATTGATCTTGAGTTGTGTTTGTGGTGTCTCAGGTGTACAGCACGTTCTCCAATGAAGACTACGATCGGAGGAATGACGATGTGGATCCTGTGGCGGCGTCTGCGGAGTACGAGCTGGAGAAACGGGTGGAGAAGATGGACGTGTTTCCCGTGGAGATAGAGAAAGGTGAGGATGTGTCTTTCCCAAAACACTCTTCACTCTTTCTTGGATTTATTGATTAATAAACCAACAGTCAAAACAATTTAAGTTTGAGTTTAACTTTTAAACACCTTGTTGTTGTAAATCAACTTGAAATGTCATCGGCCATAATATTAGTTTTCATGCTAATTTTTTCCATCCTCTCACTGACCCTTAAATTAAGGGCCGTTCACAAAATGATAATTCTAAAGATTACGATAAAGATATAGTTCTACAAATCTTTCTAAATATATAAGAATAGCAGTTCACACCACAACTATAAGGATAACGACACTGAGAAATTATATCTTTGGAATCAGTTTCAAAACGTTTTTTTTTTTTTCCAGCTGATGAACGATAAAAACATTGACAGCCAATCAGAATCCTTCCAACTTTAACAGGCTTGTGCATTTAAAGTGACAAACAAAATAACTGCAGCGAACACTTTGTTTAACAGAATTATATCGTCTGCTGGTGTGGGCGTTAATATAGTTATTTTTATAGTTATCGTTTTTTGTGTAAGCGTGAGCGAGCCTTTAAACTGCTATTCGATCCAATCGATTTATTTCAAATATGAAATATTTAAGAACAGGTTACATAAAAATATAATGAATATGTATATAGTAGGGGTGGTTAATCTGTCTGATTTCCCGATTCGATTCGATTACGATTATTGAAGTCCCGATTCGATTACAGTCGATTTTCGATTATTAACGATTCTCGATTACCGATTATTGATTTTCCATTTCACAGCAGTAAACGAAAATACACTAGATCAACATGTGATTATATTAGCAGCAGCAACATTTTGGTATTAATTGCACTTTTTATTTGTTTGATATTCATTGAAAATATAATGATGGTTAGTGAGGACATGCAAACATGCTTGTTGTCTACTACTTAGGCAACTCATTATCTTTACATTTATTAACTTTAATTTTTTTTTCAAAAGCAATTTTGTTGCATTATAATGCAAATGCACCTGGTTCTATTAATTGACAGCATTAAAATGTATTTTGTGATTTCCTTCAATTGAAAATCTTTGAAGCAAGTTTGGGGGACTTGAAGGGCACCCGATTCAGAGAATCACCTAGAAATTCAAAAGAACAGCATTTATCTGAAATAGAAAGCTTTTGTAACATTAAACAATACCGTTCAAATGTTTGGAGTCGGTAAGAATTTTTATTTAATTTTTTGGGCAAAAGAAATCTATACTTTTATTCATCAAGGATAAATTAAGTTGATCAAAAGTTAAAGTACAAGACATTTATAATGTTACAAATCGATTATCTGAATCTTTTGTGTGTGACTATAAATAATTTGCTTTAAAAGTACAAATTAATGACCCATAAAGAATTAATGCACAATATATTTTATTAACATTACAAAGAACGACCAGGAAAATAAATGTGTGCTTGAACTAGGAGCATACTTGTAGTAAATAAATAATATAACGACTGGTGCAGCCGAGTGTTTTTCCTCCTCTGGCTGGAAAGGTGTCATATGGCTTATCATATTTGTCGTGTTTCCGTCATTGGTTTTATTCCACAAAGCGTACAACTAGTGCGGCTCTTGTCCAGCTCCTTTCCCCCTTCAACTTCAGAAGCCAAAATATTTCCACACGTCAGCTTTTAACCTAACAAGGAAAGTGTTTGGATCTCGCGTGCCATCTCATCTCTGTTATGTGCACGCCACAGACGGTCCGGCCACTGCACTTCCGCGCTTCAGAGTTCCGTCTTTCGCGTTCCGTCAATATTACGTTATTATAAATACATATAAAAAATTTTTTTTTTTGAAATCGATTTTTTGACATTTGTGAATCGATTCAGGATCGTCCACGTCCGCATCGCGATGCATCGAGAATCGATTTTTTTTCCCCACCCCTAGTATATAGTGCATATATTTAGCAAAATGTTAATTCTAGCTAACGATCAAGCAATGCACATTGAATGGCTTACCTGAGATAAACGTAACATGTACCGGTATAAGCTGTTTTATTGACGTCAGTTGAAACACTGATATGACACAAGATTGTTGTATTTCAATAAGTTATAAGGTATTTTTCAGCATATTGTTCTTGTTTTATTTCGTGTTGTAACTCGTCGCGCTAATAATTTATGAACAAAACACTTTTTAAAATTTTGTTCCAGCAAACCCTCTACAGACACATTGAAGCTTGAGTCGCCATCGGCTAGTACTTTTTTTTTATTTTACTCGGCAGACTTTTTACATGGAATGCAAGAACTGTTCAAGCGCAAGAAGACGTGAAAGAGCTCAAATCAGCATTCGCGTCCGGTCAGACTCCCGCAAGTTATCTTTCACATCTTCTTGCACTTGAATGTTTAAATAGGCAAGGCTAAAAAACACATGCAAATGATAGACCTTCATGCAGTCCTGTCGAGCCCTGCGTTTAGACCTAGCGAGTCAATTCTCTTAGCTCAGCGCTAAACTTATTTTTTTGCCTGTAACTCAATCGAAATCGTACAGTTAACTCACCATTGGCTAATTAAAGACGTTCTTTAGTGGTCTAGCATGAAATTTGGTCGCATATGCAAGTGATTTACTCCCGTTGAATAAATTGAACTGGGGAGGAACTGTGAATGCTAGGGTATGTCTTCATAAATTGTTGCAAAACTCATATTTGTAATTTAATAAAAGTCTGTTACTGTAATATAGCCTTTTTGAAGACTAACCTTGAATAATTCAGTTAAGAGATTGGCTTAAAAACACTGGTTCATCCAGTAATGAAACAAGTGAAGTGCTTCTGAGTGAGTAATCATTCTGCCTTTCTTTTTCTCTTTTTACTTCTCTTTGTGAAGGTGATAAAGGCCTGGGGATCAGTATCATAGGGATGGGTGTTGGGGCAGACCAGGGTCTGGAGAAACTGGGCATCTTCGTCAAGACCATCACGCAGGATGGAGCCGCAGAGAGAGATGGGAGGTGAGATCTTTTGATTCATCATTGGACCGGTACAGTAGAATTTCTCAGTGATTTACTGAGCAGGGCATTAATTATTAGTCACCAGCTGTGACACATCTGGAAGCTTTACTTTACACCTGTTTTTCATCCAGCACACGAAAAAACACAGGTCTGATTGAGGGAGCACACCTCTCCTCAACTGGTCCTGATACTCTATATTAGAGATGCACAATTATTTGTTAAAAGATTGTGAACTCGATTCAAACACGCATGCGATCTTCTTCCTAAGTGACATTTAAACTATTAACAACTATTAAACATTTGACAAGTACGATCATAGTGAACATTCAGACCTGCGATCTGTCTTACAATAACTCAAATTGTCCCAGAAGTGCTGGGATAAAAGTTTATAGTTTGGATATAAACACTGATGTCTGCGGTAGTGATTCAATCAGAGCAAATCACCTTTTGAAAGTAACTTGACGCTTCAAATTAAGGATTGTATCAATTATATTGTTACACCAGTAGGTGGCGACAAGTGAAGTGACTGTTACAAAAGGTATTTGTCTTACAGTCCCTCCAGAAAAACGCGATTACGCGATCGCTGAATTCAATGCAAAATTAGCCAAGGTCCGCATATTTATGTGGGGGCCGCATTTTTTAAAATACGCCGCACTTTCGCCGCATAAATTGCCGATTTCCGTGCAAAATATGTGGGGTTTGCATAATTTCATAATCCTCGCATTTTCGTTGCAAAAAAGTCACATGTATCTTAGCAGAAAGTTGAAAAATGTTGCGTTTGCTTCACACAAGAGCAGCCATTTCCCCCTGTTTCCATGGGAACGTTATGAAGTGACGCAATTACGCGACGCCAGACAGACTCACGGAGGCGATTGACATCTCACAAATCGAACTCGTATAACTGTCCGTCACACGTTCTACCGTCACATCGTTACTTAATAAACAACATAAGATAAAAGAAGTAGCATCAAACAGACATGGGGTGTTCGAGGCGCACATATAACACTGCAGAGAGTTCAACAGGAGCGCGCAGCTCTTAAAGGGGCCACACCTTATTTACACTCGTTACAGTCTGAAATAAAACAAGATGAGAAATTAAATATTGCCAGCACTTTCTATGATGTAGTATGCTTGCTTATCAAAGGAAGTAATAAGAAATGACTCTTACATTAGCCTAGTGAGAACAGGATGTTGGGGGAATCACTTTTTTTCTCGTTTTCATCAAACTGCAATTTTTGCAAGTTCCCTCAATTTTTGCAAATTCCTGCAATTTCATCGCATAAAATTGCGTAAATATCCTGCATATTCCATATCATTTTTAAAGAAAACGGGCCGCATAATCAATCAATTTTTGCCCGCAACAATCACAAAAAAACTCAGAGTTTTTCTGGAAGGACTGAATACTATTATGGTAAATGTTATATATAAATCGCAAATTTTTTCACAAATTTTTGAAAATTACCACCACAAAATCAGTCATTTTGATCGCAAAAATCACAAAAAAAAATCGTGAAATCCTGGAGGGACTGGTCTTAGAATCATTCAATCAAGAGAAACGCTGATTCATCCAGGAATGAAACAAGTGAAGTCTGAGTGAATCATTGAATCATTCACTCAAACTGTTTTTTTTTTCCAATTATTCATTAAAATTAAGTAAACATTTTTAATGTTTAAATCAGGATTGCAGCAATTAACATTTAGTCAGAACCTCTAAGTTACATTTTGTTTTGTTTAATTTGTCCATGATCATGGGGAGAATCGTGATCTCTATTTAAAAGAAGAACAAAAAAACCTGATTCATTTTGATCCAGAATCACGCAGCTCTACCAGGCTAGAATAGATCATCCTGATCGGACCAATCGTCCAAATAATTTGAGCCAGTACGTTTTTTTTTTTCTTCTTCTTTTATTAATACTTTTTTTCCAGCCAGTATGCATTAAATTTATCAAATGTGACTGTAAAGACTTTTACATTTTTATAAATGATTTCTGTCTTTTTTGGACTTTAGATTCATCAAATAATCCTGAAAAAAAGTCATGTTTTTCACAAAAATATGACGAGGCTCGACTGTTTTTAACATTGATAATGATAATAATCAGAAATGTTTCTTGAGCAGCAAATCATCATATTAGAGTGATTTCTGAAGGATCATGGGACACTGAAGACTGGAGTAATGATGAAAATTGATCACAGGAATAAATTACATTTTAAAATACATAGGGCTGTGCAGAGATTAATTGCGATTAATCGCATGATCCAAGATAAGTGTTTGTGTTTACATAATATATGTGGGTGCACTGTGTATAATTATTTTGTATATATATATATATATATATATATATATATATGTATGTATATACACTCACCGGCCACTTTATTAGGTACCCCATGCTAGTAACGGGTTGGACCCCCTTTTGCCTTCAGAACTGCCTCAATTCTTCGTGGCATAGATTCAACAAGGTGCTGGAAGCATTCCTCAGGGAGTTTGGTCCATATTGACATGATGGCATCACACAGTTGCCGCAGATTTGTCGGCTGCACATCCATGATGCGAATCTCCCGTTCCACCACATCCCAAAGATGCTCTATTGGATTGAGATCTGGTGACTGTGGAGGCCATTTGAGTACAGCGAACTCATTGTCATGTTCAAGAAACCAGTCTGAGATGATTCCAGCTTTATGACATGGCGCATTATCCTGCTGAAAGTAGCCATCAGAAGTTGGGTACATTGTGGTCATAAAGGGATGGACATGGTCAGCAACAATACTCAGGTAGGCTGTGGCGTTGCAACGATGCTCAATTGGTACCAAGGGGCCCAAAGAGTGCCAAGAAAATATTCCCCACACTATGACACCACCACCACCAGCCTGAACCGTTGATACAAGGCAGGATGGATCCATGCTTTCATGTTGTAGACGCCAAATTCTGACCCTACCATCCGAATGTCGCAGCAGAAATCGAGACTCATCAGACCAGGCAACGTTTTTCCAATCTTCTATTGTCCAATTTCGATGAGCTTGTGCAAATTGTAGCCTCAGTTTCCTGTTCTTAGCTGAAAGGAGTGGCACCCGGTGTGGTCTTCTGCTGCTGTAGCCCATCTGCCTCAAAGTTCGACGTACTGTGCGTTCAGAGATGCTCTTCTGCCCACCTTGGTTGTAACGGGTGGTTATTTGAGTCACTGTTGCCCTTCTATCAGCTCGAACCAGTCTGGCCATTCTCCTCTGACCTCTGGCATCAACAAGGCATTTCCGCCCACAGAACTGCCGCTCACTGGATGTTTTTTCTTTTTCGGACCATTCTCTGTAAACCCTAGAGATGGTTGTGCGTGAAAATCCCAGTAGATTAGCAGTTTCTGAAATACTCAGACCAGCCCTTCTGGCACCAACAATCATGCCACGTTCAAAGTTACTCAAATCACCTTTCTTCCCCATACTGATGCTCGGTTTGAACTGCAGGAGATTGTCTTGACCATGTCTACATGCCTAAATGCACTGAGTTGCCGCCATGTGATTGGCTGCTTAGAAATGAAGTGTTAACGAGCAGTTGGACAGGTGTACCTAATAAAGTGGCCGGTGAGTGTATATATATATGTATGTATATATATATATATATATATATATATATATATAAATACACACACATGTATGTATATATTTAAGAAAATGTGTTAGTCATATATAAAATATAATTAAATTATATATAATATAGATTATGTATTTATATATATATATATGTATATGTATATATACACACACACACACATGCATGTATATTTAAGAAAATATATCCATAGTTATATGTATATTATATACATATAATTATACAATATTATTACAATACAATATTTCTGTTTTTTTTATCAAATAAATGCAGCTTTGATAAGCATAAACGACTCCCTTAAAAAAACATGAAAAAGTCTGACCCCGACCCCAAACGTCTGGACAGTCTGTCTGGTGAACCCTGTCTCGGGTCATGTTGCAGCTGCGCTAGTGCTGGGCATGTCCTCATGTTCTGCTTCCTGAGGGCAACTGAAGCGGTACACACACGTTTGATCTCTCTGACGGGCTGTTGAACAGTCTCTGTCCAAACACACTGCATTCATGTCTCTGTCACAGCGCAGAAAACACACTTCCTCTTCCCTGTGAACCTCTGCATTGGCTGCCAACTGCTGACTGTTGGAAATACTCAGTGCGGTGTGGATAAAGCATCCCAGCTGGGCATCAGGCCTCAGAGGTGGCAGTCGTAAACATGTTGTGATGTGTGTAGTGCCAGTGCAGGTTCGGTGTGAGAAGTGTTAGCAGTCTGTCTTCCTCAGAGAGGTGCGATTACTCATTCACGGAGTCATGAACATGTATTTATTTTTTACGTGTCACAGTGCAGCATTTCATTAATTACATCAGTGTGAAGTACATAGAGTGAAAAGTCAACTTTTAGAGGATTACATTACAGTGGGGTTTGGAGCTTTAGTTGAGGGCGATGTGTGTTTTGTAATCGGATATTTAAGTAAATTGTTACTTTTGAATTGCATTTAATTTTATTTTCATGCATTTACTTACAAATGCATTTCAAAACATCTGCACAAAGTATGCTGCCATATCCAAGGCCTGTAAAAAGTGATATGATCAATACGATCATGTTTTACATGACTTAAGCTCATAAAAATAAGTAATTTCAACTTTTTATTATTAGTTTTACAAAATTGAACTGGTTTTTTATGTAAATTCAGTTTAATATACTTTATTTTTCTATTTTAACCTATTTTATACTGCAATTTATTCCTGTGATTCCTGGATTTTCAGCATCATTACTTCAGGAAAATAAAGCTGTTTTCAACACTGATAATAACAATCATTGTTGATTTTTGTCATTGTTGATAATTGAGAATTAAATCATTGTTGATAATTGAGAATTAAAAAGTAATTGATGATAACTTAGAGGAATTTAAATTGTAATAATTGTAAATTGTAAAATATTTCACAATATTACTGTTTTATTACTTTTTTGTCAAATAACTGCAGCTTTGGTGAGCAAAAGAGAAAATATTTTTATTGTTTAAGCTTTTGAAAGTAACATTTCCCTACACTGGTTTGAGGCGTCATGAATATTGTTTGCTGTTTGGTTTGTAACTTAAGTATACATTAATAGTTGCTTAAAGGAGTAGTTCACTTTTAAAAAAAACTTTTGCTGATAATTTACTCACCCCCATGTCATCCGAGATGTCCATGTATTTCTTTCTTCAGTCAAAAAGAAATTAAGGTTTTTGATGAAAACATTCCAGGATTTTTCTCCATATAATGCACTTCAATGGGAACAAAAGACAGTTTCAGGGAAAACTGTTCGAAGGGCTTTAAACGATTTCAGACGATGAATAAGGGTCTTATCAAGCGAAACGATCGCTCATTTTAAAAAAAAGTTATATAAGCTCAAATGGTCGCCTCGCTCTGTTCTGTGATGCACGTACGTGACTCTCCTGTTCAAACTCGTTCATCAAAATGAACAAATCTTTTTTCGTGTCATTTGGTTCATTCAACGAACGAAATGAACGAATTTACTCGGGAAAAGATTTGTTCATTTTGATGAACGAGTTCAATAGCAGAGTCACGAACGTGCATCGCAGAACAGAGCGATGCGACCATTTGAGCTTATATAACTTTTTTTTTAAATGAGCGATCGTTTCGCTTGATAAGACCCTTATTCATCGTCTGAAATCGTTTAAAGCCCTTCGAACAGTTTTCCCTGAAACTGTCTTTTGTTCCCATTGAAGTGCATTATATGGAGAAAAATCCTGGAATGTTTTCATCAAAAACCTTAATTTCTTTTCGACTGAAGAAAGAAAGACGTGGCCATCTTGGATGACATGGGGGTGAGTAAATTATCAGCAAAAGTTTTTTTAAAAGTGAACTACTCCTTAAATAAGACATATGATATCAAGATTACTTTTGTCAGTGTAACACATTAAACCTCCTCTATCATGTTCTGTTCCAGGATCCAGGTGAATGATCAGATTGTGGAGGTGGACGGCATCAGTCTGGTTGGTGTGACGCAACACTTTGCTGCGACCGTCCTCAAGAACACGAAGGGAACGGTCAGGTCAGTCCTGTTCTGTCTGTGTGTCCATCAGTGAAAGAAAGCAAAAAACAAAAACAGCTGTGGAAAAGGCATTCGAGTGTGTAAATGGCAGTTGGCGCTGTGCCTCATATATCAAATGCCAATTCCTCAGAATTTTTCTTGTTCAGACCGTTGAGTTTGCTCTGTCTGAACAAGCCCAAGATCCACACCACCGTAAAGCTGCATCTCTTCAGCGAACGCCATCGCAAGCGGTGAACTCGTTCCAGCGAGAACATGTTCAAGACGCTGAGCTCGAGAGGCAGCCTTCACAAGAGCTCACTGCAGCCACTAGCTGTTCATTGGTCATACAAATCAGCATCACTGAAATATTTGAAAATCTTTACATTTTCATCATTTTTGGGTGAAATTATTTGGTAGGCAGAGGTGGAGCTGGGGAGTGCCACATTTAAAAAAAAAAAGTTCGACCTCACGTTATGTCATTTACACTTGCACACCGCCTCCGAAACTTTCGTCCATCATAAAAAAATTCGGATTAGGTCCGATTTTCTGCGTTTTTTGCATCCACAGCCATCATTTTGAGAGGTTTTTTGACAATTCAGCGCCCGGGGGAGCTCGTTCCGCACATCACTGCACATGCGCAGTCCTTTCAGTTTCTGTTTTCATAAGTGTTTACATGTTCTCTCGATCGGATTATGAAAGGAGTAAGCCTCCCCGTTCAATTAGATTGAAATTTTGTGTCGATTAAGGTGTGATTCAGCAGCCAATTTGATAACTAATGTATTTTTTGGGTACAAAATATAACCTGTTGCCTATTGAGAATGAGGAGTCACGTGCCGATTTGGGCGGGGTCTCAGCTAGTCGGCCATGACGGTAGGAGACGCTATCGGTTACCAGCGGCAACGCCTTTAGAATCTCACAGAGATGCGACTAAACATTCCAGGGGTCTCGTTTATAAAACTGTGCGTAGGATCCTTACTAAAAGTGTACGTGTGCGCCTGAAAGCCAAAAATGGCGTACGCCAAAAAATATTCAGATTTATAAAACCGTGCGTACGCCAGAACCTGCGCAGAATTCCCTTTATAAATCCCAGTCAGCGGAAGAATGCGCGCACATGCGTCTCCTCCCCGAAATAACCATATATGGAGCTTACAACGCCTAGTTTAAATATGCATATCCCCATCTGCATATCATTTGCATGTGATTATTCATCCACGTGAGACCATGTTAACGTACAAGACGTTAGGAAAATATGAAATACAGATGTGCCGTGTCACAATAAATTATTATTATTTTTTTTAGTAGCCTATATCCTTGCCTTGTTTTTGAATGAATAAATCAAATAGCGTCAAATGCATTTCAGAGAAAGATTTTCTCAATCTTTTCAACTGGCCAAATAGTATTTTTAATGAATTTATATTTTTAATGGAAACAGATAGACATGGTTGTGGATTATGGAACTATTTTCTCAGACAATCTGCTATTATCATAAAACACTGCATGCCAGAGGGAAAATGTTCAAAAGCATTGCATCCACAACAAATATTGCCTATATTTCTATTTATTGAATATATATTTTTTGTAACTTCTCAGTAATGATTTCATGTAGTTTAAGTGTTCAACTCCATTAACGAGAATGGCATATTTAATCGAAATGTTTATCAGAAGTAAAACATAGTTTAAATCATTATTTCATTTATTTAAACTGTTATTGAGAACGTGCACTGTATTTATTAGCCTATGAAGATTTAAGGTTCATCTGCCGTTAGATTATGTGCGTCAGTTTCACTAAACGGCCCAACACGTGTGCTGGCGCGGACACGAAGGGATGGATATTGGCTTCAAGTGATTGGCTTGGTGAGTGAAATTTTATTCGTAGGCTATTATCTTTCTGTATCCTATAGACTATTTTTCTTTCGATTTTCGTTCTAAAAGTGACCAAAAAGACATTTAACTACAGCTCACCATCAGTGTCTCCAATTCCCTTTGTCTCCAGAATGTGCGTACGCACGGCTCAAAGTTTACTTAATGGTGCGCCCATTCTCCCGTCAAGTTAGTTTTTTATAGATCACAAACTTTGCGTGGAAACTGGCGTACGCACAAAACGGGGCTGGAAACGTACGTACGCCAGTTTCCACGCAAGGCGTTTGTGACGCTTTATAAATGAGACCGCAGAGTTCTTTAATTTTCACGCATTTATTGTTTTCGCGCATTTATTGTTTTCGCGCATTTATTATTTTGGCAGGACAGAGACGGATCTAAGAATACGAGAAAAAAAGGAAGAAAGTAAAGCAATGCAAAAAGATTGCAAAAGGGGAAAGAAAAGGGACCTTACAGGAAGATATTTGTTCTTTTGCACTAATAGCAGTATTATTATTTTATTATTATTACTTATGTTGTCCATGACAGGGCTCCAGACTGCGACCAAAATTTGAGAGTGTGCGACTGAATTTTACATCCAGTCGCACATGTGCGACCAGTAAATTTGCCACACATTAAACGCATGGTAAAGCGTGTGGAAGGGGCGCGTCAATGAATCCGTGACAAGAATAGCGCGCGTAAACGCCTGTGGGAAGGAGACGGAGACAAATATCACAACCTGATGTGCGTCTGAGCAATCAGCGATCTATCGACTCGTTAGTCGTCACCTAGCAGCGAATGCAAACAAAATGAAAGTGGAACGAATATGATTAGGACCGTGGAGCAGCCGCAGCGATCTGAACCATTGACAGTAAAATAAAGCCCCAACTTGCCAGTCGCGGGCCGATCTCGCTCACGCAACTACTGTTACTAGGCGATCCAGTGAAGAAATCCATTGAATTCGCCTCAGAATTAATAACATCAACACCACGTGATCCAGTGAGAAACACTCCGATTCGGCGCAGAGTTTATAGACCATATCAGATCAAACAGCGCTGACGTGGAAACATGGAGAAACACTTATAGAAGGCTTTCAGTCCACAAATCAGCCTAACAGAACCATGGATTTAGGCTAATATAGTAAGTTAACTCTAACCATAAATATGATAATGTGTAAGAAATAGTCAAATGCTTACAAATAGCCTACTACACATCTTTTCCCAGCACTTCAATAATATCATATATAGAAATGTTTTATTTTTTTGTATTTTTTTATGTGATTACCAACACATTTTTTGTTAATCCTTTAAAGATTGTCCTAAAACGAAAAACAAAGATGTTGGAAAACTCTTATTTAAACACTTAAAAAATAATAATAATACCATTGTAAACAGTAGGATGTTTATTCGCAATTTTCACTCCATATACATATTTTCACTACTTTTATTAATTAATATTAAGACATTATAAATGATAATAACTAAAGTTAATTTCATCTACACCCTAAATTAAGTTTAGTAATTTATTGTCAGCCCCAGTGCTACCAGAATTTTTTTTTGTCCTGTGAAAAACATTAAAATAAAACAGCATATCATAATGTTAAGTCTGTTTATTATTAAAGAATTTTTCATTATTACAGTTATTTTGGGGGAAATTTGAATAATTGCATTGCAAGCTGATTTAAGGTGTGCCCCTAAATTTTCTGCTTGCGCTCCTAAAATTTTCAGTCAGGGGCAACAGCGCTCCTAGTAAAAAAAGTTAGTCTGGAGCCCTGCATGAAACTTATGTTGTCCAAATATACATATATTTCAGTTCTCAATAAATATTGTTAAGCCATATCAACATTTATTTCAAAGAAATAAAAAAAAGTAATGAACAAGACACTCAAACAACACTTTTGCGTATGTTTGTTAAGGCACAGCAAACAGTGAAAATCGTATACTAAAGGCATCAGCAAACCTAGCAATCCGGCGTCTCCTCGTCAGGTCAGCGACTCTCCCTGATGCTGTGTCCATTTCGGTAACCTAAAAAACTGTATTCCATTGTTCCTATGTTTTCCATATGTATCATGTGAGGTACTGGAACAGTTTTTACCTTGGACACACTGCCAGTCTCTGTTCAGAATCGATTGGTTCACGGAAATTGGTGGTCTTGTTTTTAATATGTGGCTCCAGAATCGCAAGCACAGCATCAAACTGTCCCACTGACATTCTGAGGTAAATTTTTAATCGCTCAGGATAAATTCGCGACTCCTTAATAAGGAGGTGCTTCCTTTTGGCGCAATTTCAGGATTGGATGGACCCAATATTTTCTCTTTCTCTTTTCAATAAGAGAGAGGACAAAATCATCCTCGCTGCTTGACGAATCCATTTTGTATTTTTGTGTGTGTGTGTGTGTGTGTGTGGGGGGGGGGGGGGGGTTCTCACAAAGGTTTAATAAATACGCATCGGACTCAGTGTGCAAGTTCTGTGCGTGACGAATTTTTAGGCTACGTTCACACTGGACGCGAATAGGGCGTCAGGCGCGAATGATTTCAATGTTAAGTCAATGCAAAGACGCTTTACGCGCGTGAAAAATTCCTGCGGCGCGAATGAGGCGTGGAGCGCGGCGCGGAAAACGCGAATACGCCTCATTCGCGCGTCAAGTTGGCGCGAATGGCGCGAATTGAGCGTTGTGCATTCACGCGTTTGACGCGAATTCGCGTCTGCTGCCCGAGTTGAAAAATCTGAACTTTGGCGTGAATTCGCGCCGCGTTAACCAATCAGGAGCCTAGCTGCTTGCTCATGTGGTGAAGTGTCTGGATGCTTCAATAAATTATTTTGTTAATATGACTAAATGCATGGTGGGATTATGCACAACAAAGCAAATGTTTCATCACTTAAAAAATTATTTCTATATACGAGACATGTTCATTTTGTATTATTTATTCCATATCTAGAAATAGTATTATGTTGTAAAGACAATATATGTGCATAAATTCGTGTCTGGATGTGAGAGAGAGAGAAAAAAATCACAGGACAGGTTAATAACTTTTGAAGGCTGGCTCTATTTATCATCAAAACAAAAATAAATGACAGCTAGATTAGATGGATGAGGGGCCGGGCGAGGGTGATCCTCGCTCAGATGCGGGACAACAGGTCATCAAACTGGGCGCGTGACAGGCGGAAGTACCGCTGACAGCGGCCGTCATCCAGCGCAGCTCCTGGAGCGAGCAAATGGTGAAACTCGCCAAACGGTTCGCCTCCGAAGGATCCGGTGGACACAAATATACGGCGACGATGATCCCCACGCTGCTGTTCTGCTCTCCAGAGTAAATACAGAGCGGTAACTCTCTTGATGAATGCTCGGTCGACATGAAAACAATGGCCGCCAACGGATTTTGATTCTGACGCGCGTCACGCGCGTAAATTTCACGTTTCGTAAATTTCAAACTTTACGCGCGCCAATTTCGCTCTTGACACGCGAATTAACACTAGTGGTCAAGCGTCAAACTAGACGCGTCAGGCGCGAATTTGACGCGCGATTCGCGTCCGGTGTGAACGTAGCATTAGGCTGACGAACACGAAAAAACGCATACGAAAATTACGTACTCAGCCTTTACAGGGCTTGGATTTCGGCACGAGTTTGCACATAATTTTACTCATTCCAGTAGATTTTGCTCACACCCAAAGAAAGCCGCCTCTCAGTGCTAAATTGAGTTTAAACTATTGCGCTTAAACAGTCAAATACACACAAAACAATGTCAAAATGCGGATTTTGGCAAGTATTCACGTAAACAGTGTCAGTTATGCTTTGAGTGCACGTGTGTTTTCTTCCCTAGAAGAATCACTGATGAAAACATGAATTCCTAATGAAGGGCTGTACACACACACACTCCAAGAATAACTTGACAGTTGTGCTCTATTTGCTCTCTAGCAATAATATGAATGCTCTTAACGCACATAATTCTCTGTAGGCTCTGGTTTGAAGGTTACCAGTTCCCCACATGCAAATAAACAACATGCACGCACACACACACACACACACACACAGGCTCTGTTGTTTCGTCTACCTGATCAGCAGCTCAGTACACGTTACACACATTGTAATTCTTGTTTCCGTCTTGCTCACCTGTCACTTACCCCCGTGCAGGTTTCTGATTGGCCGAGAGAAGCCAGGCGCTCAGAGTGAGGTGGCGCGTCTGATCAGCGAGACCCTGGAGCAGGAGCGCCAGCAGCAGCAGGTGGACGAGGCGTACGAGCAGTCGACTGAAGAGGTCAGTCAAGCACGTCTACTGGGCCATCCCTGCACATGCATTCTACAAGTTAGGAGTGACATGATATAAATTGTGTTAAAAAGTGTTACTTTTGCCCTGTACTTTAGTATCAGCACACTTCTGTATGTTCCTGTGTATGTTATTGTTGATGTATTTATTATAAGTTCATAAGTGTGTACCAATTTTCTTTTAAGGGGATACGTCACCTCTGGAAAGATGAATGTGTATTTCAAATGTGAAAAATGTGAAATTATTTAAGAATTTGGAGATTTCTAGACTGAGAAAAGACAGAAAATGTATTTTTGGTTTATGTGGATGAAAGACAACAACTCCCAGAATGCACTTGCTTCGCTACCCTAGGAGGCCACGCCTACCGGTAACAGAGCGCAGTCGTTAAACAACAAGTCTAGGCTACTAGTGAGTCTCATGATGAGTCTGCCCGAATATGTGTTTCGAGATCGCACAGAATGTCCGGATTCGGCTTTTGCGTTCAACAGTCGCCATTCATCATGTTTGACAATCAAAGTTGACAGCCCTATTAGCTTCCAAACAAAGATGGCCGACACTATGTGTTCATTCTGTGAGTGAGATCGCCCTCTATGGGTGGGTTGAGAACATGCGGGACAGACCCTACTACTGACTGTAGGAAAAAAAAAATCCTCCGATGATGCTAAATGATGATTTCCAGACAAAAAATACATAAATCTCTCGTCTCAGGGGGATATGAGGGTGGAAAGCACGGTAAATACTACAGGTTTCCTACTAATACAAAGCATAATGCTAAAGCCTGAAGTATCCCTTTAAACTAATGTTTGCAGCATGTTATTTATGATGTCAATCAAGAAACATGTTTTGGTACAGTTATAGGCTCTACCAGCAGGGGCTAACTGGATCATGCTAATCTTTGACATCATGGTCCAGATGTACCTTTTTAACTTTATTTCAATCTCGTCAGAGGGTTTTATGGTGCACTTTATTTACCTTTTGCTTGGCAAAATCCATAACAGAAGATGGACGTGTCTGACAGTTGTTAAAGGAATATTTCACCCACAAAAATGAAAATTCTGTCATTTACTCACCCTCAAGTTGTTCCAAACCTTATTAATTTCTTTCTTCTGCTGAACACAAAAGAAGACATTTTGAAGATAGACTGGAATACGTTTCCAGCTGTAATCTCTTCAGAGCTGCTTTGTGTTGAATGTTCTCAAGTATGCAAAAAATATGTAAAAAAGCCCCATGTTGAATGAGGAAACAGATTCGTGAGTTCATTCACAATCCAAATTGTGTTGTTTATGCCTGTCGAGTCATTCGGTTTTCCAGGTAGTCAATTCTTAACGGTTAGTGTTGTACCAGCTATGAGGAACATTATTTGTTCATTTATGACTTATTTCTCATCTCTGCTCTCTTTTTGAACTGTTTGTTTCTTGTTGTGTGAGTGTCATCATGTCTGATGTCATCACAGGACGAGCACTACGAGGATGAGGAGGAAGGGGGGGAGGACGTCATCCTGGGATCTAGTTTCGGCAGGAGGAACGTGGAAGTGTACGAGCTACCAGAGAGCGAAGAAGTGTTCCTGCCATCAAACATGGACACCACTCAACTAATGTTCAGATTTAAAGAGGTAGCACCTTGCGCTTTTCATTTCACATGGTTTCAATAGTTTGCCATTTTCTTAATTCTTTGTGTATTCTGTTTTAATTCCAGCTCCAGATTAAACACAGCATCGCTGAGGCGGAATTAGATGAACTGAAAGAGACGGTACGAACTTATGAACCATCTTATCCATTGATGTCAAACGTATGGCAGTTCCTGTGTGTTTAAACGGTGATGTTTGTTTGGTGGTGTAGTTGAGGGATTCGTCGGAGGAGCGCGCGGCGTGGGAAGCGAGGGAAGCTCAGTTAGAGAGGAGCGTTCAGGAGAACTCTGAGAGAATCGTTCAGATGGAGAAGAACTGGCTGGAGGCTCAAGCTCTCTGCAAAAGCATCAACGAACAGCTCAATGACACGCAGGGCCAATATGAAGCTCTGGATAAAAAATACAGCAAAGCCAAGAAGCTGCTCAAGGACTATCAGCAGAAGTGAGTGGAGACTACAACACTTAACCTCTCTATTCATTACCTAACATTTGAATTTTCTGGTATGTAAGGGATTTTCTATGGAAGCTTGTTTCGAGATCGCTGAATCACTGAATAATAGGGGTGTAACGGTACACAAAAATCACGGTTCGGTACGTACCTCGGTTTTAAAGTCTCGGTTCGGTTCGTTTTCGATACAGCAAAAAGAAAGAAATGCCAGAGAAATTTCCTATTTGTTTAAAGAAAAAATATTTTTAAATAAGTGTGAGTTTTCCTAGACCTTGAAACTTTCAGGTTTATAAATAGGGGTCATCTTTGAAGGATGAACAAATAATGTTTTGGTCATCACATTAAAAATAACATTTAAATATATATTTATTTATATAATATTTGAATTTTGAAGTGCTGGAAAAAGATGTGTGAAGTACTTGAAAGCATTTCACCATTCCAGCCAAACTGGTTCCAGTTAGTGTTACTATATTAAATCCATGGTGAATGTTGCTGGTCTGTGGATGTAGAGTATTGCTAGTTCATTCACGGCACAATGTTTCTCCTGGTTTCCATGACAGCGCTGTTTGATCTAATAGAGATCTACGGTTAATAACGGAGAAATGTGAATGCTTCTCACTAGATCTCGCAGCGATGTTATTACCTCAGTGGCGAATTCAAATGTTTTCTTTACCGGATCTCTTAGCGCGGTGTGGTAACAGTGTTGCTTGATCGAGATCGGCTCGCGCTGCACAGATGTTGCTGGTCCGAACTGATAAACGATCCGTGAAGCACATAACGAGGAGCGCAGTTTCGTTCTGCTTTCATTACCCTTGCCATTTGGATGTTGCGCAACGTTGTGTTGGCCGCGTCAGCACGAATTTTGCCGGCAAGAAAAATGGTCCAAGCAATCGTTCGGTTTGTATGCGTACCGAACCGGAAGCCTTGAACCGAAACGGTTCAATACGAATACATGTACCGTTACACCCCTACTGAATAATCACTGAATTCACTGAATAAAAAAAATGAAAAAAATAATTGCGACTTTTTATCTCACAATTGCGAGATATGAAGTCAGAATTGTGAGAAATAAAGTTGCAATTGCGTGTTAAAACTCGCAATCGTGAGAAAAAGTCAGAATTGCGACTTTTTATCTCACAATTCTGACTTTTTTTCTCACGATTGCGAGTTTACATCTCACTATTTTGACTTTATAACACATAATTGCGAGTTTATATCTCAAAATTCTGCCATCTTTCCTCAGAATTGTGTGAGATAAACTCGCAATTGCGAGTTATCAGGCCAATTCTAAGGGGAAAAAATACTTATTTCCCCCCTCAGAATAGTTTATATCTCACAATTCTGACTATATCAATCAATTCTGACTTTATATCTCGCATTTCTGACTATATCTCGCATTTGCGACTTTATATCAATCAATTCTGACTTTATTTCTCGCATTTCTGACTTTATATTTCGCAATTCTGACTTTATATCTCGCAATTGCGACTTTATATCAATCAATTCTGACTTTATTTCTCGCATTTCTGACTTTATATTTCGCAATTCTGACTTTATATCTCGCAATTGCGACTTTATATCAATCAATTCTGACTTTATATCGCGCAATTGCGAATTTATATCAATTCTGACTTTATATCTCGCAATTGCGACTTTATATCAGTCAGTTCTGACTATATCTCGCAATTCTGACTTTATATCTTGCAATTGCGACTTTATATCAATTCTGACTTTATATCTCGCAATTGCGACTTTATATCAATCAATTCTGACTTTATATCTTGCAATTCTGACTTTATATCTCGCAATTCTGACTTTATATCTCGCAATTGCGACTTTATATCAATTCTGACTTTATATCGCGCAATTGCGAATTTATATCAATTCTGACTTTATATCTCGCAATTGCGACTTTATATCAGTCAGTTCTGACTATATCTCGCAATTCTGACTTTATATCTCGCAATTGCGACTTTATATCAATTCTGACTTTATATCTCGCAATTGCGACTTTATATCAATCAATTCTGACTTTATATCTTGCAATTCTGACTTTATATCTCGCAATTCTGACTTTATATCTCGCAATTGCGACTTTATATCAATTCTGACTTTATATCACGCAATTGTGATTTTATATCTCGCAATTGCGACTATATCAGTCAGTTCTGACTTTATATCTCGCAATTGTGACTTTATATCTCGCAATTGCGACTTTATACAGTATCAATCAATTCTGACTTTATATCGCGCAATTCTGACTTTATATCTCGCAATTGCGACTTTATATCTTGCAATTCTTAATTTACATCTCGCAATTCTGAGAAATAAAGTCAGTATTGTGAGAAATAAAGTCGCAATTACCTTTTTTATTTTTCATTCTGTGGCGGAAACAAGCTTCCATAATTTTCAGCGGTTGTTATCAGGGAATAAAATATCACTGGATGGCGTGATTGACCAATCAGAATCAAGTATTCCACAGAGTTTATAAGCAGTGTTTATACACAATCATTCAAAGGTTTGGGGTTTTAAAGAAATTCATATTTTATTCAGGAAGAACCAGTGTCGTTTGTAAGTAATGCGTTACCGCAACGTAACTACTTTTTCTTGTAAAAAGTACTGTAACGCGCTGCTACTGAAAATTTGGTAACGAAACTTACTTCCTTTTTCAATTCGGCGAAACGTTACTTGTCTGCTATATTTGTTTCTTATTTATTAAATCCAGGCAATTGGTTGATAAAAATTTATTCAAATTAAGGTACAATTTATACAAAACGAAATTCAATTTAAAGAAAGGCTTTCTTCAAAACAAAGTGGTTAAATCATGTCTGACCCACTCAATGTCTCCCGATATATTGCGCATCCATCTCACTCATACTGTTCACTTTTCATAATCAACATAGATGGAAAAAAATAACATAATATTTTAACAAATATGAAACTAAATGCGCTTATTTAATGGCTACAACACGTATAGCAGGCATAGACTCTCTATTTGTACAAATTACTGCACATTCATTTAATTCTGAATTTTGCAACATAAGTCGAAAGGTATTTGTTTACGTGCATAACACATATCAAGTTTGCGGATAATAGTGCGTGCATTTATTAATCATTATGATACTAAAATCATAATAAAGTAGGCTATACTATGTACAAAAAATCAGGTGAGCCCAGAATATGAACGCAACATGTTTAATTACACGTTAAGCATCCCATAGAAAACCATTATAAGAATGCTTAATTTATAATAATAATAATAATAATACGTTTAATTTATAACGCACTTTTCATCCAAGGATCTCAAAGTGCTACAGGTTAAAAACAATAAAAGATAAACAGTTCTTTAAAAAGAGAGGGAAAAAATAGAAAGAGAAAAAAACAAAAGAAAAAAAAAAGAACATCTAAAGGGTATCAAAAGCTTTGCTAAAAAGGAGTGTCTTAAGGCCTTTTTTAAAACATTCAGTGGATTATTGAGGTATTTGTGAATTTGGCTTAATGCAGATTAGAATGTCCCGTTAATATGTCGAAATAACAAGATAAGTTTTATTTTTGTCTTTATCTTTTGGTTCAGGACTTCCATAGAATACAGACTGAATATAATTGCTTCCAGAAATTATTTTTGGGGGTGCTAGTGCTAACGGGGAGCTTTTCAAAATAGTCAAAATTTTGATTTATGCATTTATGGCATTATATATGGCATTATGCATAGTAGAACTTTATGTAGGCCTACACATTTAGGAACAGATATTGGGTTCTGCCCAAAGTCAAGCAACCTAAAAGTAACGAGTAACGAAAAAAGTTGCTTTCCATATGGGGTAACTAAGTAAAGTAACAGATTACTTTTTTTAAGAAGTAACGAGTTACACTACTTTTTAAAAGTAACATCCCCAACACAGAAAGAGAGAGAGAGAGAAAGAAAGAAAGAAAGAAAGAAAGAAAGAAAGAAAGAAAGAAAGAAAGAAAGAAAGAAAGAAAGAAAGAAAGAAAGAAAGAAAGAAAGAAAGAAAGAAAGAACCCAAACTTTTGGATGTTGGTGTACATTCAGAACGATTTTGCATAATTGTTTTTGCACAGGTTTGTTTTGCTACAGTAGACTTGCTCATGCTTCTGTCTTCATTTATTCATCTTCATATCATCGTTTTTATTCTGTGCAATGAAAATCAGATGCTGTTGAACTCCAAAAATGACACAAAAGCATGTGACTCATACACTGTCTTCTAAAGTAAAACAATAGCTTTTGTGGAGGAACAAACAGATTACAGTTCTTCTGTTACACAAAGCTGTCATCAAAACTCTGGGAATTTAGTCTGCAAGTTCTATGGATCATTTTATTCACTTGGAATAGTCACATTATGTTTTATTGTATGAACCATTTCCTGCAGTGTTTCACAGTAGAAAGTTATCCAGATTTCAAATGATATGAGAGTGACGATCCTTTTCAGTCAACTAACCCTTAGAGATTCTGATTGGCTGGATGTGTGTGTGTTGTAGAGAGGCGGAGTTTGAGCAGAAGGAGGAGGAGTTAAGGAGAACTCTGGAGGAGAGAGAGGCTTCTTATAAAACTCAGATAGAGGATCTGCAGCAGAGGGTGAGAAGTTGAACACGAACAGAAACACACACACACACACACACACACAGCTCTTATGTACTCTGACTTGCACCTGTCAATCTCTCTCTCGGTGTAGTTGGCCAAGCTTGAATCTGGCGGTGGTCATCATGAGTCTTCACTGTCGGGCAGTAAGTCTGCAGATTCACTTCTTTTGGGTGAGTTAAACCTCTGGCTCTCTGATTCATTGATTGTGAGGTCATGCTGAGTCTATACTGAACTTACAAGATGGAGAAAAAGAATTGGGATCAGTCACAGAAACATTGTAAAACTGAGGAATAGCAACAGTAAAGATGCACTATTAAGCTAAATAGGCTTTTTTTTTTACATGTTCAACTTCTTTTGTGTGTAATGTTGCTGTTTGAGCATAAAACAAAGTCTTTATGTTCTCTGTATCAGTGACATTTCCCAAACACACCCGAACCGCTTGACGGGTTGAGCATTTAAAACATATCTCCAAAAGCATTGGTTTATGATTAGTGGATTGTTCTCCAGGAGCGGACTGGAGCGAGGTGGTTCCCGAGACGGAGCGTTTGGACACCAGCGCCCATCGTGCAAGGGCCCATCCGGCTCAGAGGTCCAAACGCCAGCCCCCGTCCCGAAGCAAACTGAAAGAGATGCTCAGCTCTCCGACGGGACCAGCACAGGTCACAAAGAGCTGGAGATATTCATGAGATGTGACCCAATACGTCTCTTTTAAAGTCTTTGAAGGTTGGATGCGCTTGTCTCTTTTCCAGGGTGAGGATGAGAGCGAGTCTTTGAGTCCAGACTCCCCACCGACCCGTAGGAGATCCATCCAGGAGAGTTTGTCCCTGCCGGTGGCCATATCTTCCCCTGCAAACCACCCGAAGGATGAAGCATCTGTTACGAGCAGCAGCCAATCAGTGCAGAGGGATCCACAGGGCCCCGCCCTCTCGCCCCCCAAAGACTCCTCCCCCTCCAGCTTCCTGAGGAACGTGAAGAAGAGAGAGTCCAAAGGCAAAGGCAAAGAGGTCAAAGGTAACTAGCTGGATTTAGAATGGCGCTTTTTACAATGACCTATTTTCTGCCTAGCAACAGGAATATGATACAAAAAAGACCTATTCGGGATATGAATTCTGAAAAATGATCTTTTTTTAATAGATTTTTTCCATCTGGTGAGTGATAAAAACAATGACAGCCAATCAGAATCCTTCCTGCTTTATAGAGCTTGAGCGTTTAATAAACAGAACGTTGTCTTCCGCTGGTCTGGACGCTGCTATATTCATCATTATAGTTATATTTACAGTTATAAAACGGTTGGTTCCAATCCTTGATTCTGATTGGTCAATAGCTGCGCTACACTGCAGTTTTTATGTTGTGTTTGTTTGAGCTTTCATTCATTTTACGCGTTGGAGCGTTGTTGCTGTTCACGGTCGGGGACTATTTTTTCTAGCGGAAGGAAGGCTTTTACTTCATGAAAGTCGCACTAATCCATATTTTTTTTACTTTAATATTTGTATTGTGTGGTAACTGTTTTATAAAAGCAATAAGGTACTGGATCGTGAATAAGTAACGGCTGAAGGGGTTCCTCCGCTTCGCGTCGGGCCTAACAACGCCCTTCAGCCGTTACTTATTCACGATACAAGCAACCGTATTGCTTTCATATCGTTCTTGGAGAAACGTTGCGCTGGAACGGCATGCTAAAGTAGTCCAACTGTTAAGGGATTTAGCCCCAGAGTTTTCTCATTACTACAAGAAGATCAATGCAAATCAGTCCACGTCAGCCTGGCCATCAGATGTTTGTCTGTGTTTGTGTTCTGATACAGTTCTGTTATTCGTTTCAGACGAGTCTAATGATGCAGCGGGAAAAACCAAAAGAAGATTTCCAGATTTTGGGTTGGTGCAAAAAACAAACAAATCCCCTTACAACATCAGTACATGAGGCTCTAATGGTTTCAATGGTTCACTATGGATTGTGGTGTTGTATATAATGCATGTTGTTTCTGATAGTGGTTTAAGGAAATCTGGAGGAAAGGGGAAAAAAACGAACAAAGAATCTAAAAGGGCATCACTGGACAGCAGGTACACATGAACACACACACACCGATGACATTTTGACAATTCAACTTTTAATGTTGGCACAAATCCATTTGACATTAGAGGTTTGTCAGTGTAAAAGCTGTTCCTCGAGCATCGTTTTGTGTTTTGCAAAGTTTGCTGCTTCTGTATTTGTAGATTTTCTTTTCTTAAACAATTAAACAAATTTCATTCGTTTTAAAGGCTTTTATTGGCAAAAACATACCATTTATGCAAGACTCAATATCTACAGTGTTGAATCTTCATCTTCATAACCTCTGTGATTCATTCAGTCATGCTGGATATCAAATTATGGGCCGGATCCTGACTTATAGACCTTATTCAGATTACTTACAATTTTCCACAGCTTACATTGTCGGGAGTTTTTTGTCAACTGACATTTCTTGGAAAGATATTTTTCCAGTGTTTCATGAGCAGAACAATCCCAAAAACACATTCAATAACAGTACAGCCCATTGAAGAGATGCAAGTCTATCCCTCACAGCCTCGCTTTCATTCTCATTAAAAATCAAAGATGGCGCTGCCGTGAATAAGGCGTATGGCGATCACTTCTTGCTTTATTAGCGCAATCTGATCACAATTTGTGGACTTCTGCTCGTCCACACGCCTTTTGAGGACTGACCACACACAGGTTCCCTATGGGGTTAAGATCCGGGGAGTTGCCTGGCTACGGATCAAAAATGTATTGAAATGTAATGATAGCCGAGGCACTTCATTATCACTCTTGTCTTATTGTGATGGGGCTCCATTATGCTGGAGAATGCACTTTTTTTTACAACAGAAATGAACCAACACTGAACTTACTCAAGCTGGACTATGACTCTATTTTCTTCTAGATCTGCTGTACAGCAGAAATAAACGTTGTTGCATTATTTTCCTGTTATCACTGTAAAGCTACTTAATCACCTAAAGGATTATTAGGAACACCTGTTCAATTTGTCATTAATGCAATTACCTAATCAACCAATCACATGGCAGTTGCTTCAATGCATTTAGTGGTGTGGTCCTGGTCAAGACAATCTCCTGAACTCCAAACTGAATGTCAGAATGGGAAAGAAAGGTGATTTAAGCAATTTTGAGCGTGGCATGGTTGTTGGTGTCTGAGTATTTCACAATCTGCTCAGTTACTGGGATTTTCACACACAACCATTTCTAGGGTTTACAAAGAATGGTGTGAAAAGGGAAAAACATCCAGTATGCGGCAGTCCTGTGGGCGAAAATGCCTTGTTGATGCGAGAGGTCAGAGGAGAATGGGCCGACTGATTCAAGCTCATAGAAGAGCAACTTTGACTGAAATAACCACTCGTTACAACCGAGGTATGCAGTAAAGCCACAACACACACAACCTTGAGGCGGATGGGCTACAACAGCAGAAGACCCCACCGGGTACCACTCATCTCCACTACAAATAGGAAAAAGAGGCGACAATTTGCAAGAAATCACCAAAATTGGACAGTTAAATACTGGAGAAATGTTGCCTGGTCTGATGAGTCTGGATTTCTGTTGAACATTCAGATGGTAGAGTCAGAATTTGGCGTAAACAGAATGAGAACATGGATCATCATGCCTTGTTCCCACTGTGCAGGCTGGTGGTGGTGGTGTAATGGTGTGATGGATGTTTTCTTGGCACACTTTAGGCCCTTTAGTGCCAATTGGGCATCGTTTAAATGAGCAACATTACAACTGAAGCAGCAAACGTAGCTAAACACACACTTTGTCACTGCCAACACTGTATTGGCTGTATGTGTACGGTCTGGTCTCGGCGTTGCAGGGGTTCAGCAGAGTTACTGGAGGAGTCGGGAACGCGAGTCTCTCCGTCGGAGTCCATGACCTCCATCCCCACCTGCATGCCCTTCTCCTGGTTCGGAGAGAAGGACAAAGAGCGAGACCGAGAGCCGTCGTCCTCCACCAGCAGTCTCCCATACACCACTGCAGACGCCAGCGAACACACACACAACTCCAAGAACAAGGTGAGCACTTAATCTTCTCTCAATAATATGTAAATCAAAATGTAACATGTGGCACATTTCACAAATACAATACCAAAAATGTATTATATGAGCAATAAACATAAAACAAGCAGAATTGATCGAATTAAGCCTAGTTTTTGAAACTAAATAGTATTCATGCTAAGTTAATCGTATTATGAAATATTTTATGCTTCTCTTTAAGGGATAGTTCACTTTGAAGCTATGTTTTAGCTTACCTCAAGGGCATCTTGTCTGTCAGTCATATAATGGAGGTCTATGGTCACCACCACCTCAAAGAGCATGCATAGAGAAGTCCAAATTAAACATGATTTAATGACTTGTAAATGTAAGTACACATTGATGGCCTAAGACACGAAACGAGCGGTTTGTGTGAGAAAACTAACAGTATTTATATCGTTTATAACTTGTAACAAAGCGCCTGCGCCCTCAGATCACTTGGACGTGGCTGTGGTTACAAGGGGTAAAAACGATATAAATACTGTTGGTTTTCTCACACAAACCGCTCGTTTCGTGTCTTAGGCCATCAATGTGTACTTACATTTACGAGTCATTAAATCATGTTTAATTTGGACTTCTCTGTGCATGCTCTTTGAGGTGGTGACCATAGACCTCCATTATATGACTGACAGACAAGAACGGTTTGACCTAAAAATATCAAAATTGAAAATACTGCAGAAACAAAGACACCTACATCTTGGATGCCCTTGAGGTAAGATAAAACATACCAAAAATTAATTTCAAAGTGAACTATCCCTTTAATGCTTCTCACAACAAAAAAACGCGAGATCTGTGAATTTAAGGCTTTTTTTAAGTCAAGGGACACCAAAGTGAATCTTATGATTCATATTCATTAAAAAAGTTTGGGTTAGGTAAGATATTTTCATTTAATTGATCAAAAATACAGAAGAAATGTTCTTGAATATAGTGTAAATTAATTTATTCCTGTTATCAACTTACTCCAGTCTTCAGTGTCGCATGATCCTTCAGAAATCATTCTGATATGATGTTTTGATTATTATTATTAATGCTAAAAACAGTTGTGCTGCTTCACATCTTTATAGAAACTAGGATTTATATTTTTTCAGAATTCTTTGATGAATATAATCTGAAAAACATATTTATTTTAATAATGTAAAAGTATTAACTGTCACATTTGATACAAAAATATGGATATAAAAACCTTGGTGACTATTGACTCGGTGTAGTTTATATCATCGCTTGTAAAAGTGAGTCACATGGAAGAACTAACCAGCTTTCTGATAACACAAACAACACATATCTGGCGTCCAGCTGGACTGGGTTTAGCCTATCAGTTGTGAGATGCTAAGGAGAAGCAGTCAAAGTGTTCTGGGATAAAGTCTGCAGCCATATGGATATGATCAATAACTCAGCCGAAGCCTGTTTGGTAAAGCTTTGGGACAGTGATGTCATATTATGAACCCCTCTCCCCGAACAGACAAACCTCTCCTGGTCTTCTCTGTTCAGTCGCTCCTTAGATTTGGTACAGTATATTTTCTCTTTTAGACGCTCAAATTTAATCTAGCAACGTAGTGAGATTCCAGCTGAATATCAAACCTAGTGTCTAGCATTAATACTTGTAGAATCACAATAGAATGCAGTGCACTAGATGCATGATGCTGCTTATGATTTCATCAGATTTATTTGAGCAATCACTCTTTTTTTCTTTCCTCTAATGATTATTTTTCCAAACATTATTGTTGCTTGTAGACGCATTACGCTGCTGATCTGGTTTAGTGTGTGCTGTTATGTTGTAGTTAGGTGGGGATTGACCGATACGAGTTGGCCGATATAATACAATATTAATAGGAATGTTGAAAATGTTGATTACTTTACTTTAATTTGTGCCGATATTGATTCTTAAATCCATAGCTATAATTCAAACGTCTGGTTTTGTCGCTCTTCAAACAGCACATAAACCGATCATCTCTTCCTCTTTACTACTAGTTATAGCTTGAAATAAACATGAACATCAGAAGGAATGATGAAAGAAACAGTACTTTGACTTTACTGTAACTTACTGAAATGTCGCATGTAATTCAACCACAGAAAGACTTAAAACGAACGAAGTTGCGTAATGCTCAGTGGCGTAACTTTGTTTTAAAAAGTGGGTGGGACATGTGTATAAATGAATGAATCACGTGACACGTGAATAAAAACATAGATCCAACTTTACAACATGTCCAGTGGAAATAGCCTATACAGAAAGTCCTGTAAAATTAAATTGACCTAATAATATGAATAAAAATTATAAACAAAAATATACATAAAAGTTTTAAATGTAAATTAACTATTAGGCCAGAATTTTGATAACTGATTTTTTGGGAACGCGCATGATTCAAATTTAAAACACCCGCAAATTGCGCCCCTGGTAATGCTACGTTTACCTCAGAAAAGCCGTTCAATGACCGTATCTCGATAGTTAGCTATAAAAAAAAAAAAAAAAAAAAACTAGAGCGGAGAATTGTAATAAATATTTGCAGTATATTGCATATTCATTATATTTTTACTCAAGCTGTTAGTTATGTTTACTGTTTAATAAATATTTCAGGAAAACAGCCATTGTTTAAATGTTTATATTTTAACAAAAAATTTGTTAAATTTACGGGGAAAAAACTAGCAGCTGTGGTTATCAGAGTTTTCCTGTTAAAAATACGGTAGCAACATTTTAGGTTTTACAGACTTCTAGAACCGTATATAATTTTACAGCAATAAACCGTAATTCATTATCTGATATAATGTTAATTCTGTTTTGTTACATTTTTTTTTCACTGTTAATTTATACATTGACTTATTTAAATTTAACAGTATTTTACAGTAAGATTACATTAAATGTATCATTCATTATATATATCACAGTTATTTACCGTATTTAGTAAGGAAACTTTCTGTTAACCAATAAATACTTTTTCACTGTAGCATTTTTACCGTTAAAATCACAATATTTTTTAGTGAATTTAATTAAAAGAAGTTACGACAAAAACTGCCTTATGTGCAATTTTAAATGTTTGTATACAACTCAGTAGGGCTGGGTATTGACACAAATTTCACAATTTGATTCGATTTCGATTCACAAGCTTGCAATTCGATTTCGATTCAATATTGATTATTTTGGATATCAGTTAAAATAAATGGGAAATTGTCTCAGGGAAATCAAATCTCTTAACTAATGCTGTAAACTATAGGAGTCTAGTTGTAGCCTATAGGCTTTATTAGCCTAATATGAAGGTAATAATGAACTGTTTTGTAGCTATACAAACACTTAAATTACACTTTTATTTATTTTTATAATAAGAAGATTATATGAAATATAAACATTTAAATGGTGACTGTCATAAAAACTTGCCAGATTTATTCAAATATGCATTAAATATTGAAGAACATTAAGATTATAATGCATATGTAATGTGGTGTATATATTTAGCAAAATGCTCCTCTCTAGAGTTATTTTTCTAGCTGACTAACGAGTTTATGTGGGTTTTCTGAGGTAAATATGACGATACATGACATTGATTACAAGCTGTTTAACTGACGTCTTTCCACGGTTGAAACGCTGATTGAGCGAATCAATGTGACATGATACGAATTTCGATAAGTTGTACTCAATCTTTTAAAACACTTTCAGATGCTCATTCATGTTTATTTCACGCTGTGACTGGTTTCTCTTGAGCTGAGCCAGAGCGATCTCACGCCAAAACGCTATTTATGTTTTTGAACTTCTAAAGAAAATGGACGTAATTTGAAAATTGAGACGTTGTTTCATATCAATAGTAAGAAAGGACAAAGATTATTGCGATTTTTTTTTGGATGCGCGCAGCCACGATACAATGTCCCATTCATTTAAATGAAACAGGATGACTAATCGATTCTTGAGATTTAAGAATCTATATCGGTTCGTAAAAATGAGAATCGATTAATATCAAGAAATCGATATTTATTACCCAGCCCTACAACTCAGTTTTTATTTGAGTGTTAATTATATCTAAAAAAGAAAATGGCAATTGAATTGAATAGTTTGGACTCTTTCTAATTTTAACCTTTAATATTATTGTAATGTACCAACGGATGACTACTTTACAGCATTAAGGCCCGTACACACCGGGACGAAAATCAGCGTGCGTTATTCGTCTGCATTTTTCAACATGTTTTTTGTATTCACACCCAAGCGATTTTTGCTGACGATGATCCGAGTGAACATGCAAATTCATTCCCTGACATTAGATGGTGCCAATTTGCTCTGAAATACAGTACAGTTCTCTTTTATGTTTGTAGTTGCTGTCGCGTTTGCCATATGGTGCTTTATGTTGTAGCACCAACGAGACCAGCAGCTCTACATTCATCTTGCCTCGCATCTTCCTCGTCTTATTTCTTCCTGGCAGTGTAGACGGCGACGCTACTTGGCGTATATCTTCTTCGCCACTCCATATGTGTGCTCGGCAAGACCGTTTTGTGTTTGAGCGCCCCCAAGTTGTGTTATACTGTAACTTCAGAAGCTCCAAACACGTGAGCAAAAGCGCCAATCTCATGTGTCGGATAGTTTTTGACGCAACGCGTCAAACTAAAAAAACGAAACCGAGGCGTTTTTTTAATTTATTTATTTAATTTTTATTACGCTTTTACGCGTCTATGCGCACACTCACATTGGTGCCCTTTGTTTAGTCACAAGCCGTTAAACGTCGGCCAATAACGCGCACGAAATTCGTCCCGGTGTGATCACGCCTTTAGGATTGGTTTGATTTTTTTTTTTTTTTTTTTTTTTTAAATTGACATGTACTGTAGCTGATATACAGTATAACCAAATGAATCAAAATTGAATCGAATCAAAGCTTGTGAATCTAATCGATTCAAGAAAACAGTAACAATTAGAATCAAAAACAGTTTTATTGTTTCAAAGAGAGATCGTGATTCTCCCACTATTCTGAATCGGCAACTAAACTAAAATAATGTGTGATTTAGTCTGACAAAACCAAAATCGTTTAGAACGAATGATTCAATGATTCACTCATAATGACTCCAGCGTTTTTTAGACGAATCTCTTGAATGAATGATTCAACGATAAAAACATTTACAAGTCATTTGTCGCCACCTACTGGTGATTTAATTGATACATTAAACTTTTATCCCATCACTTGTGAGATAATTCGAATTATGTGTGCTTCACATACACACACACCCAGCATATAATGTGCAATCAACAGGACTAGGATGTGTTTGTGTTGTAGTAATGTGATTTGATTATGTGCATCAGCTCATTCTCTAGGCGTAAAGAGCTGAAAATCTTGTGTGTTTGGATAACAAATCCATGTTTCTGTGCCCGTTCCAGAGTTTGTCAGTGCTAGATGATTCGAACCATAGCAGTCCTGCTCCAGATTTGTCTGGGCTGGTGGTGGAGCCCAACCTGTCGGGCCGCTCACACACTTTAACCTTCTCCTCCAGCGAGGTGAGTGCGTGGCCTTCGTTTGCATGGCTTTCCTGTGGCGTGTAAACGGTCCTCTGGAAGGTCAAGCATTGTCTCGATTCGCTCGTGGAGTTCCTGAGTTAGTTATTTTTACTCTGAAGCGCTGATCCCGTCTCATTTCATGCGTCCGTTGTCAGTAGTGTTCGTTTTCTTTGACGAGAGGATCGGATGCATGTCGCGTGAACATTAGCGGATAGCATTCATTCCATCCAAAACACATCCTGTGTGTTTTTTGCATTATGGTATTAGAATTTTGATGAAAATGTAATGAAAATAATGGTCCTTAAAGGGCCGAATGGTCAAAATATGTTTCTTTCTTTGATTTTGAGGTGAAATCTGGCAGGTTTCATGAGATTCACCTGGTGTGTGTGTGTGTGTGTGTGTGTGTGTTAGATGCTGGATGAGGAGCCTTGCTCTGGAGGGAAGGAATATCACTGGCAGACCCGTCCGGTCTCTGATTGGACGTCCCAGCAGGTGTGTCACTGGCTGATGGGTATGAACATGGATCAGTACACACCTGAGTTCAGCACACAGGCCATCGATGGACAGCAGCTCCTGAACCTGGACAGTGACCGACTCAAGGTGAGCGGGCTGAGGAGGATATGATGTCAGTCACAACTGTTTAGGGATAGTTCACCCAAAAATAACAATTCTGCCATCATTTACTCATCCTCAAGTTGTTTCAAACCTGTTTGAGTTTTCTGCTGAACACAAAAGATATTTTGAAGAATGTTAGTAACCAAAGAGATGCTGGTCCCCATTGACTTCAATAGTAGAAAATACTATGGAAGTCAATGGGGTCCAACAATCATATGCTCTGATGGGCTTCCAAAAAAATATACCCATCGACACCCATTATAAAGCTTGGAAGAGCCATGACGTTTTTCAATAAAACTCCTGATTGTATTTGTCTGAAAGAAGAAAGTCATATACATACACCTAGGATGACTTTTTCATTTTCATTTTTGGGTGAACTATCTATCCCTTTAACCAGTGTATTGCCCACCCTTAACAATAGTGACATGGCATTATTTCAAGGATGTTTTGGCTTCACAGTCTATGATAAGAATGCAAAAAGGAGAGCACAATCTTTTGGAAAAGATCTCCCCCTGGTGGTTGGCTGCAGTATAGCTCATAAACCCCGCCCTCTCCATGTAATCCAATGGGACGCGAGTCAAATTAAAAATATGCAATTACACTTTTAGCTTTTTTGTCATTTTAGGTAGTTGTGTGTATGTTCAAGTGTTAGTTCCAATAAGTTTGGTTTTAGTTTAGTTGGTTATTTGATGCTCCAGTCTTAAAGTGGGGTTGTAACATCATGATTGACAGCTGTGCTTGCCAGTGAAGGCCTAATAGACAATACAACTCTCCCGATTTTAAAAAAGCATTAAAGGAGTAGTTCACTTTTTAAAAAAAAAAACTTTTGCTGATAATTTACTCACCCCCATGTCATCCAAGATGTCGAAAAGAAATTAAGGTCGATAAGAAATTAAGGTTTTTGATGAAAACATTCCAGGATTTTTCTCCATATAATGGACTTCAATGGGAACCAAACGGTTCAAGGTCCAAAAGAGAGTTTCAGTGCAAACTGCAAACTGTTCAAAGGGCTTTAAACGATTCCAGACGATGATTAAGGGTCTTATCAAGGGATATAACGATCGTTCATTTAAAAAAAAAAAAAAGTTAAAGTTTTATAAGCACAAATAGTCGCCTTGGTCTGTTCTGTGATGCGCGATCGTGACTCAAAGTGAACGAATCTTTTTTCGTGTCATTTGGTTCATTCAACGAACGAAATGAACGAATTGACTCGGAAAAAGATTCGTTCATTTTGTTAAATGAGTTCGAACAGGAGAGTCACGAACGCGCATCGGAGCGAAAAATTGAGCTTATAAAACTTAAACTTTGTTATTTATTTATTAAATGAGCGATCGTTTCGCTTGATAAGACCCTTATTCATCGTCTGGTGTCGTTTAAAGCCCTTTGAACAGTTTGCAGTTTGCACTGAAAGTGTCTTGGACCTTGAACCGTTTGGTTCCCATTGAAGTCCATTATATGGAGAAAAATCCTGGAATGTTTTCTTTAACAACCTTAATTTCTTTTCGACTGAAGAAAGAAAGACATGGACATATTGGATGACATGGGGGTGAGTAAATTATCAGCAAAAGTTTTTTGAAAAGTGAACTACTCCTTTAAGATCACGGCAACTAGACGATGCTTACTAGTATATTGTGCCACTGTCGTCTGATACGCTTGTGTGTATTGAAACGCTCTCCCGTAGGCACTGGGTGTGTCCAGTCAGAATGACCGTGCCATCATCAAGAAGAAGCTGAAGGAGATGAAGAAAGCGCAGGAGAAGATGGAGAAACAGCGGGAAAAGCGTGAGAAAGAGGCCAGACGGAGCGGACGCCTGCCCGCCAGCACCGACTCGCTCTGCTGAAGATCATTCGTCTCCTTTCATTCCTGTCCGGCAGACTGGGACCACTTCCTTCAACACACACACACACACACGAGTCACTACAGAGAATATCCTCACATATACGGTCAGTAATAGTGCTGAAACACTAATGAAGCTGCTTATGAGAACATCTTCACACACAGAATATACATGTTCATCTAGAGATAGTGATTTTAATAAGACGAGCGTTTACAGACTCTACGTTTTTGGGCCTGTTGCCTTCACTGTTAAAACACGATTTGTTTCTTAAACAGTATTTTTTTGCCATTAAAAATCCAACCCTCCTAAAGCAGGATAAGACGCAAACTGAATTTGTTTAAATTGCCAGTGAAGAAAAATACATTTAATTGATATTCTGTGAAAATATTTAAAAAAAAATTTTTTCCAGAGAATATGAAATCAAGACAAAATACTGATTAAGAAAATGATTTTTTTTGCCGAGATTTTCCTATTAGACGAGGTTGTGAGAGAATGAATATGGCTGTGACCGGTGTATAGCTGACCAAAACTTTAATTAGTTTTAATTGTATTTTATGAAACCACTGTAGGGGCTATAAAAACACTCACTTAAGGGATATATAAATATTTAGATGCCTATTTTCACATCGTGGCTCAAATAGTGCTTTTAAAAAGATTTCATGTTGTATTTTTAGTACTTTTTGCTTGAACCTTGTACAGTCGAGTGATATTGAGCACTATATTTTTTACTATAACAAAGGGGAACATGGTTTATAAATGTACAAATGAAATATTTTATACACGACTATTAGCATAGCTTTAAGGAAAATGCATTAACTTTTGTACACATTTTCTACTAAGTAGAATAGCTTGTTGGTTAAAACCATTTTGCTAATTCTGAAAAGCAGAGAGTGAAACTCAGTTTGCACATTGTTTTTATTTGGACGGTTACTGCTTTTTACGTTACGGATGTGGTGCAAAAATACTTCATTGTTACAAAATATAGCATTGTTTTATTAGTCACCATCACCCAGATTTCATTTCACTAATAACAAAGGATGTAATGAATACTGGATTATCTTGCCACCTGTGCTCATGTCATCATGATTCTGTGTCCTGTGGTTATATTTTTCTACCTTGTAAAATAGATGATTTTGGACACAAAGTCTGTAAGACAAAATCAAGCTTTCTATCTGGTACAAAGTGCATACGCTGCAAAATAAACGCTTTCACCTCTCGTAGAAAAGATTGTGTGTGTTCAATCCATAATGTGGTTTCTTTTATAGAGTAAAATTTCAGAGAGACTAGCAAATTAGCGAGCTAGCTTTGAGAGCATGAGATCCCACCCTCCCTTCAGAGCGTCTCCAAAGCCACACCTCCTTTAACCCTCGGAGTCACGTCCTGGGCCTTCCCGGTCAGAATTGACCGGACACCTGAAATTGAAACTTCCTCCATCCCAGTAAAAACCAATGCAATTTATTTTTGTTCTATAATATTTAGACAATTTGATTGAATTTACTAATATTTATGCAATATTTATGGTCTATTTTTGCCATGAAAAAAAAATCATATTTTTCTATATATATATATATATATATATATATATATATTATTATTATTATTTTAAAAAAATATATTAATGCAGTATTTTAGTTTAATATAGAGTCTAGGCCTTCAGAAAAAATATATATTTTTTGAAGAAAATTCTTGTCTGTCGGTCATATAATGCAGGTCTATGGTCACCACCTTTTAAGAGCGTGCACAGAGAAGTCCAAATTAAACATGATTTAATGACTTTAAAAAGATTTTCTTTGAAATTCAGTTTTGGTATGTTTTAGCTTACCTCAACAAGTGCATCCAAGATGTAGCTGTCTTTGTTTCCGCAGTAGTTTCAATTTTGATATTTTTAGGTCAAATATAGAGATTTATATATATCAGAAATAAAATATCAGATATTTTTAGGCTTTTTAGGTCATTTTTATTTATTTATTTTTTTTTATATTTTTACGTCAAACTGTTCTTGTCTGTCAGTCGTGTAATGGAGGTCTATGGTCACCACCTCAAAGAGCATGCACAGAGAAGTCCAAATTAAACATGATTTAATGTCTTGTAAATGTAAGTACACACTGACTGCCTAAGACACGAAACGAGCAGTTTGTGTGCGAAAACGAACAGTATTTATGTAATTTTTGCCTCTTGTTACCAGAGCCACAAAGCGTCCTCAGATCAGTTGGACGTGGCTGTGGTTACAAGAGGTAAAAACAATATATATACTGTTAGTTTTCGCACACAAACTGCTCGTTTCGTGTTTTAGACCATCAATGTGTGTAGTGTACTTACATTTACGAGTCATTAAATCATGTTTAATTTGGACTTCTCTGTGCATGCTCTTTGAGGTGGTGACCATAGACCTCCATTATATGACTGACAGACAAGAACGGTTTGACCTAAAAATATCAAAAACTACAGCGGAAACAAAGACACCTACATCTTGGATGCCCTTGAGGTAAGATAAAACATACCAAAAATTAATTTCAAAGTGAACTATCCCTTTAATATTTTTTTTAGAATTCTTTGATGAATGGAAATAATTTTAACCAAACAGTTGATGGACCCCGTTGACTTCCATAGTAAAAAAAAAAATAAGTATTTTAGGCAAAACCATGATTTTCTCAGCTTTTTGTTCATAATGTTGCTTTTTTATAAAACTTACCCGCATATAAAATAAAACAAAATATATATAGCTAGATTTCATTATTATTATTTTAAAGCAGAAGCTCAGTTCTTTATTTTTAAACATTCTGGGGGCCACGAAACTTAAAAATGATCATTTAAAAAATGATCAAAAATGCTGGTGCTGGCAACTTAAAAAAAGTTAAACTTCTCTTAAATAAAAAAAAATAATATCATTACTTAGCAAACAATTAAAATCACCTAAAGAGTTATGGTATATACAATAATACATTAAAAATCTGCAATTATTAAATATGTTAACTAGATTATAAACTATAAAGATATGAACTAACTATATATTATAATTATAAATATGTTAAATATATTACACAAAAGGGCTCTCAAACGATTAATCGCATTCAAAATAAAAGTTTGTGTTTACATAATATAATGTGTGTGTATCTATTTTATACACACACATGCTTGCTTATATATTTAAGAAATATTTTCATGTATATACAGATTTATATATAATTTATATTATATATAAATATACATGCATGTGTGTGTTTTTATATATATATAAAATAATTATACACAGTGCACCCACATATATTATGTAAAAGCAAACTTTTATTTTGGATGCAATTAATCGCGATTAATCGTTTGACAGCCCAAAAAAAATCCCTTTTTTTGTATTTAATCTCACTTTATTAATCAATGTCTTTGCTGCTAACCTTTGATCTGTTTGTAAAAGGTCTTATTGGGTCATAAATTATACCATATTATAGGGGAAAGTTACTTTTAAAAGGAATTATTGCATTATACTGTGATGGCCGATGACGTGGCCACACAAAAGGACAGTAACTGAGAACACACATGCATACATGCATCCTTATTTCTGGGTTGTTTACATGTTATTTTTAGTATTTCATGATTAAACATTTGTTGCAGATACCTTGGTTACAGATCATGCTATACATATTTCATAATAATGACAGACACAGATTTGGTTCATTTTCACTGTTTTATTTTCAATTTTTTTCTGCCATAAATTACTAGTTTGGGTGCACACTTTATTATTGGAATCTTTTTGATTTATTTTATTTCATTTGAGTTTAAGAAGTTGCTTAAATGGGAAGTCCAATAAAGGACCGCCTGGCGTCAGTTTCCGCCATTTTGTTCAATTAAGCCAATTAGCCTCGACTAGTAGGCTATATTGAGTCAATATACGTCACATCTAGTACATCAAGTAGTTTAATTTGTAACTTTGTTTGGCATTTAATAAATAACTTTCTTTGTTTGGAAATCCTGCATTCTGTGCACTTGACTGCTTGGTCCCACATACTAGTCCCTGAAAAAAGTAACTACCTAATTGTGAAGTAATGTGTTTTAGTTTACTTTTGTGTTATTTTTGCTCATGTGGGCTGGTCTTGCTTGATTGTTTTTAACAACAAAAAAGTTGTCAAATGTAAAGGCCTTTCACAACAAAATGAAATGAATGAGCCTCAGGCTGAAGAAAATGCAAATTCACTCCTGTTCAGTAGACAACAAACCTGTTAAAAAGTACCAATATAAAATATTTTTGTGTAATTCAACAGATTTTAATTATTGCAGGTTTGTGTCATATCTGAGTTTGCATTTCACTGTTTGTATTCATTTAGAGAAATATACTGAATCTGTAGGAAGACTGTAAGTTGCTTTGGATATAAGCGTCAGTATTGTTAATGGTTTCCCGCAGTCCGCCGGATCCAGGCCATATCCAAATCTGATGAAGGACCTGCGCCTGGACGCGACAACAACGCAGTCCTGAATCTGTTTTTGTGCCAGTGAGATGAGTAAATGCTCTCATTTTGCTCACGCAACATCTTTACTCCTGATTTCACTGAGTACAGGAGAGCTGTCAGTCAATACATGGGAAACAAAGTTACTTGTTTTACTTTGTAAAAGTAAAACAGACATTGTGTTGTAAATTTAAAGGCGATGCGTTACTTTACTAGTTGAAAAAAGTAATCTGATTACATAACCCGCATTACTTAGATTCGCATTTAATATGCTATTATACTATGCCTTCATGCCTTTTACGTCTGATTGATAGCCTAGTTCAGACTTTTTAAGCAAGTAAAAGGCCTTGTGATATAACTGTAAAAACGTCTTCAGGTCATGGTAGGCATAGCTATACTGAAATCTTTAATGATTTTAATAAAGTAAATGTATAAGCTAGGCCTAACTTTAATGGACTTGACTGATAGCTATAATGGACAGAATCAACTTTACTTGAATGAGATGAGACTATTTTTTGTTGTTGTAAAAAAATCATGATAAAAAAAAGCTCAGGAGGAACGTCTAGTTTTTCCTCAATTATCATTTCTATATGCTATTGTATGTTTTGCCCCGACAATAAAACACTTTCAGTAAAAATATCTTAATTTGTTCGAAGATAAAAGTCAAACGAGTAAATGATGACAGAACGTTAATTTTTCCAGACTACCCGACCCGTTTAATCGTGACTCTTTCGAGTTTGTCATCACTTGTTGTAGCAGCCCATTGAAAATGATGCTGGGATTTTAGATTAAAACAACATACAAAACCACAATACGTAACGTTATAGGCTACGTTTGACTCTGGTGGCGATAACTTCCCATGTGACAACTAGCCCCGGCGTGTTTCCGTGTGTCAGCTGTGTGGGCGGCAGCATCGCTCACTCTCAAACTCAAACTCGATCTCTCTCCGTAAAGTCGCATATGCTGCTCATGATCAGGTGCGGGCGATGCGAACTGTAGTTTTACTCCATGATTTCACCGAAGATGGTTGCGACACACTCCTCCAGCCACCCGTCCTCTTCCGCGGAGTGGATTATCTGTCTGGATAAGAGGTACCATCGTTTACCCGACACAAACTTCATGGTGTTCCTCCTCTGATCGACCTGCAGCAATCTTTCACACATCAGTGCCTCATAGAAAACACATTACAAGCACTTGTGATTTGTTAAACCATGAATATAAGTTTCATTTGCCAAATGCGATTACAGTGTAATTGATGTAGATGCAGCATTTCATTCTCAGCGCGACTGGTTTAAGGATTCATTGCGAGCTTCACGTCTGTGAATAGTGTGTGTGAGTGTAGTTTGTAAAGGGTTGTTTATTTGTCTCCTGGAAGAGGTCACCAGTGCTGCAGTGCTTGTGTTACTGCAGACGCTTTCTGCTGTGTGTGTATGAAGCGCTTTAGTTACAGAGACGAAACTTCACCCTCCCTGCTCTATGCATTTCTTTCTTCAGAGGAACCCAAAAGGAGAGGTTTAGCAGAATGTCCAGGGTGCTCTTGATGCAGTAGATAATAAAGTGAATGTGATTTGGTGGATCAAGACTTCTTACCAGCATCAATGCGGGAAAGAACGTAAATCCTTTGAAGCATTGCAAATGACAATCAAATTAAAGATGACAGAGAAATATAGATTTATAGATGTTGCTTGTGTATAATAGAAACCACATGTTTTACATGTATTGCTTAGTAAATATTTACGCATATTTGTCAGGAGCATGGGTAACACTTTACAATAA